AGGGTCTCTTCAAAGTCAGTGTATTACCTTTGTACTATGGTGTTGAAACACCAAACAATGATGTAACCAATATTAATGCTAATGCAATAATGGGCACTACTAGCCCCTCTTCTATGTATATGCATGATCCTTCAATTTTGTGGCATTCTCGTTTGGGACATGTTAATTTTCGTTCTATTCAAAGAATGGCAAAACTTGGCATGTTACCAAAATGTTCATTAGATAAAAACATAAAATGTGAGGTTTGTGTAGAATCAAAATTTACACAACATCCTCATAAATCAGTTGAAAAATCTAATGAAATACTTGGCTTAATCCACTCTGATTTATGTGATTTTAGAGCAACACCTACAAGAGGAGGAAAGAATTATTATATATCCTTTATTGATGATTGCAGTAAGTATTGTTATATTTATTTGTTAAATACCAAAGATGAAGCCTTGAATTATTTTAAGAATTACAAGGCTGAAGTTGAAAATCAACTTGACAAAAAGATCAAAATTCTAAGGTCTGATCGAGGAGGAGAATATGAATCCAAAGACTTTGCTGAATTTTGTTCTTTAAACGGTATTATACATCAAACAACTGCTCCATATACTCCTCAACAAAATGGAGTGGCAGAAAGAAAGAATAGAACATTGAAAAACATGATTAATTCAATGTTAATTACTTCTGGAGCACCACATAATCTGTGGGGAGAAGCATGTCTTGCAGCAAATACAATACTTAATAGAATTCCTCATAAAAAGAGTGATAAATCACCATATCATCTATGGAAAGGGAGGTTACCCTCTTATAAAAGGATGAAAGTGTGGGGTTGCCTTGCTAAGGTACAAGTACCTCTTCCTAAGAGGACTAAACTTGGACCAAAAACCATAGATTGCATCTATCTTGGCCCTGCCATGAATAGTGCAGCATACAGGTTTCTTGTGTATAAATCACATGTTGATGAGATCCATAACCAAACCATCATGGAATCAGCAGAGGCTGAATTCTTTGAAAATACTTTTCCTTTTAAGGATAAAGGAAAAGAGGTTACCTACTCTAGGAAAAGACCTCTAGATGATGGACTGAATGATACGATTCCAGACAAAAGTTTACAATCAAATGAAGAGAATTCTTCAAAGGTTCAAGAAGACAACTTAGAACCTAGAAGAAGCAAACGGGGCAAAATAGCCAAAGATTTTGGACCTGATTACATGACCTATGTAGTGAATAAGGAACCACAAACATATAAGGAAGCTATGGACTCCTCTGAAGCTCCTTACTGGAAAGAGGCAATCAAAAGTGAGATTGACTCCATTGTGCAAAATAACACTTGGAAATTGGTGGATTTGCCACATGGGCAAAAACCAATTGGGCACAAATGGATATTCAAGAAGAAGTTTAGACCTGATGGTACCATAGAGAAGTACAAAGCTCGTTTAGTAGCTAAAGGGTATCGTCAAAAAGAGGGTCAAGACTTCTTTGACACCTATTCACCTGTTACAAGAATTACATCAATTCGCACATTAGTAGCAATTGCAGCCATTCATAATTTGGAAATACACCAAATGGATGTGAAAACTGCCTTCTTGTATGGTGAACTAGATGAAGAGATATATATGAATCAACCTGAAGGGTTTGTGGTTAAAGGTCAAGAAAACAAAGTCTGTAAGTTAGTTAGATCACTTTATGGACTAAAACAGGCTCCAAAGCAATGGCACGAGAAGTTTGACAACACATTACTCTCTAATGGATTTAGAATAAATGAATGTGATAAATGTGTTTATGTCAAACAATACAAGAATGCTTATGTCATCATATGCTTGTATGTGGATGATATGCTTATAATGGGTACTAATCTGGATGTGATCAATCAAACCAAGAAAATGCTACACTCCTCCTTTTCCATGAAAGACTTGGGAGTAGTAGATGTGATCCTTGGTGTAAGAGTTCAAAGAAGACCAGATGGATATACTCTTACTCAGTCCCATTATATTGAAAGTGTACTCAAGAAGTTTGGACACTATGATGACAAGCCGGTTGTCACCCCATTTGATGCTTCTAGTCATCTAAAGAAGAATAAAGGTGATACTGTAGCTCAGTTAGAATATACTCAAGTTCTCGGCAGCTTGATGTATATTATGAATTGTACTAGACCGGACTTGGCTTATAGTGTAAGTAGATTGAGTCGTTACTCCCACAATCCTGGGAAAGATCATTGGTATGCATTAGTAAGAGTGCTTAGATATTTAAAGCATACAATGAACTATGGACTGCATTACACGAAATATCCTCCTGTTCTTGAAGGGTATTGTGATGCAAATTGGATTTCCAATACTTCTGAGGCAAAATCCACAAGTGGATATGTGTTCACTCTTGGTGGAGCTGCTATCTCTTGGAAATCATCTAAGCAAACTGTGAATACTCGTTCTACAATGGAAGCAGAGTTTGTTGCTTTAGATAAAGCTGCTGAAGAAGCTGAATGGCTTAAAAGCTTCCTAGAAGGTATTCCTCTGTGGCCTCAACCTGTTACTGCCATTGGCATACATTGTGATAGTATGGCTGCTCTTACTAGAGCACAAAGTCAGATATACAATGGCAAGTCGAGACACATTAGGCGCAGACATATTACAATACGAGACTTGCTGAAGAATGGAATCATTTCCATTAGTTACATAAAGTCAAAGGAAAATATAGCTGATCCCTTGACAAAAGGCCTGAGTAGAGAGCAAGTTCTCTTCACATCGAGGGGAATGGGCTTAAAGCCAACACAATGAGTCACCACCTGGCGGAAACCTAACCTAGCAACATTGGAGATCCCATGGTCTAGGTTCAATAGGACAACTAGTTGGGGAAGACTCAAAGAAGCACTAACACAAAGGTATGCTCACTCCCATGATATTTGTTTTGTGTTTTTCCGTTGATGTTATAGGGATGAATGCTTTATTCTTAATAATGCTGATAGCTTTACAGTGGAATAAGTACGGATTATTCCAGATTAGCATTACCTATGTGAGATGGATGTGAGGTCGCATCTTTGGGAGCTGATATGGCTAAAGCTCTCTAAAAGTCTCATGAAGAAAGGATCGTTCATGACCGAAATGAACACAACGGTAAGAAATGATCTATGCTTAGATATGATATGTGTGATACTTCTTGTTTTTTATTCTACTATAAAAAGTGGTTAGTTCAAGACTCTAGTTCACTACCCACAAAGTAGATCCAAGTAGTACTCACTATGAAAGGTTCAAGTTTTACAACACCTATTCAGATGCATGTCATATCTTACTTCCCTTATTTGAATATCAAAGTTCACTTATTTTCTATTCAAATGTGGGGTATTATTGGAGTTTGAATAGAAAATGTGGGGTATTGTTGGAACTTTGACTACAAAATTACAATGTGGGACTTATCCCACATTGGTGGAAGAGAAAACCTTCTCCCACCTTATATGTCTAGTCCCACTCATTTAACTAAATGGGTCAAGTAATGGGTTAAGCATATTGGGCTTGGGTTGTGGTGTTGGATTAGCCTAATTGGACTTAAAATGGGCTAATATCAAGAGAATATTTAATGGTCAAAAGATGGGCCTTGGGCCTTGGGGCTCTTGGAGTCTTCCTGATTAATTAGATAATTTTTAATTACGAAATTAATTTTTTTTTTTTAAATTCGTAATTACTGAATGACAGGTTTTTAACAGTTATTTTCGGTTTTGACAGTTTCCAACTGTCATAACTAATACCTATAAATACCTGTTTCATTCATCTGAAAGGGGTTGCAGAAATCATCATTCACACCACAGAATTCTCTTTAAAAAATTCGTTCTTCCAAAGATGAAGGGAACATAGGAATTTCGTCAGAATCAAGAGAAGTTCTTGATTGATTGTTGTATCCTCTAGACAGATCCCCACCAGGGAAATTTCTGTCTTAGGACACTGCAATTTGCAGGCCTCAATCTACATAATTTCGTTTTGTGTTTCTGTTGTAAGCATAAACCATCAAGTATGTTTTCTGCAAACTGATTCTTGTATATTTCATATATATATATATATATATATATATATATATATATATATATATATATATTTCAATTTCGTTTGTTTTATTTCTGTTAATCTTGTTGATTGTATTCTTCTGTCATAAGAGCTCTTTGCTAGTTTTTTTTTAATAAAATCTCTGCCCGTTCAAAAAAAAAATCATATTTCCAAAGAAAAATTGAACCGGGAAAAATATCCAAAATGATAATTCTTTAACATTTTCATGGATAATTGCCACAAATCGAGAAGCAACACGCCACCTAGACCCCATGTGTGGATACTGGAACCAAATACAACCCTGGATTGGAAAACCTGGTTGTGGGTTCCATCATCTTAATCTTGTTCCTTTATTTCTCCTCTTTTCCTGTAAACCGCCAGCCTAATATACCAGCCTGGAAAGAGCTGTGGAGCAAATTGCAAAAAGCTTCCAGCTTTCTCATGACGGTGTTACCCCATTCTACCCATTTTCTCACTACGTTCCAAATGAGGTAACAAAAGCTACTTTAGAATCAAGCTAACTTGCTTCAAATTCCTATTGCTCAATTCGAAACCCAAAACCCTAGTTTGTGTTTTAGCAAAATCTTCTTTAGTTTAACTAAGCTACTGGTTTCGACACTGCTTCTAATAGATCCCTGGGGTTCTTTACTTTTCATGGTATCGAACTAAACCTTCTTCCTTTCTTTGATTTTTCAGCTATAGACACAGCACCGCATTGCTTTTTTTTTTTTTTTTTTGCTTGAATCTGGAATCTTTGAGTTTACTTCGCAACTAATTTGGGAATTTATAGACTATGATGTCCAAGAACACGTGTTTGCTGAGGTGGGTTGCTTGATTCTTCTATATTCAATCTAATTGATAGCTACTTGATTGCCTCATGATTGGATCTTCAAGTTTAAATTATTATAAATTTGGGGATTGAATCTTTTAAGTTCAAATTATTACCAATTTGGTGATTTAAATACTCAGATTCTTCAAAAAATGAGTTTCCTGAAGTGGGTTTCTCTAGTTCTCGCGTTTGTTCTATCTACATATGTTCATCAATCATCCGCTTCATTCAGCCCTGTGGATCGCTACTTAATCGCTTGTGGTTCTTCCCAAAACGTAACTTTTCTTGGTCAGACTTATGTTCCTGATTCAGACGAATCATCAATGATCATTCTGAATAGCAACCAGAATTCAAACACACTCCATTCCAATTCCACCGTTCCATTACCCATCCACCAATCGGCCCGATTGTTCACCACCACATCCTCTTACAAGTTCGACATCAAGAAACAGGGTCGGCATTGGGTCCGTCTATACTTTTACCCAATTCCATCCCACAACCTCACATCTTCTTCCTTCAGTGTAGTCACCCAAAACTTCGTGCTCTTAAACAATTACAGTTTCAAAAGCTACAGCGGTTCTAGTCATCTCTTTAGAGAATACTCGATCAACGTGACTTCCGATACATTGCTTCTCAATTTCGTCCCTTCAAACAACTCGGTCGCATTCATCAATGCAATTGAAGTTATCTCCATCCCTGACAATATGATCCCCGACGAGGCTACATTCGTGTTCCCATCTGCCACAATTAGCGGTCTATCAGATCGCGCCTTTGAAACTGTGCATCGTTTGAATATGGGTGGCCCGAAATTAACTCCTAAAAATGATACATTAGGAAGAACATGGGAAAACGATAACAAGTATCTCCATGTGAATGGTTCTGCTGCAAATGTCTCGATCAGCCCATCGATGATAAAATACACCGAAAGTGTCACACCAGAAATCGCACCGAATTGGGTGTACGCAACCGGTCAAACAATGGGAGATGCCAACGTCGCCAATTTGGATTTCAACATCACTTGGGTTCTTCCTGTGGATCCAGATTTCACTTACTTTGTGCGTTTACATTTTTGCGATATTGTGAGCACCTCGCTGTATACCCTCGTGTTCAATTTGTATATAAACTCCGAGACTGCTTTTACTGATCTTGATTTATCGAGCTTAACTGGTAACCTCGATGTCCCTGCTTACAAAGATTTTATATGCAATTCGTCTGGTGACCAGAGTACTCTGACTATTAGCATTGGACCGGATCTAGTTGCTGAAGATACAAACGTGCTTTTGAATGGTCTTGAAATCTTGAAAATTAGCAATGAAGCTAGAAGCTTAGATGGGGTTAATTCGGTTGAGAATCTTGTTGTGTTTCCGAAAAAGAACAAGAAGACAGGTGTCATTGTGGGATTAATTGTTGGGGTTTCAGCTGTTATAATTCTACTCGGTGTTTGCTTTTGTTGTGTGGTGGCCCGAAGGTCGAAAATGAGCCACCCGAAGCCTTCATGGCTCCCTCTTCCATTACATGGAAACTCACTCACAATGACAAAGATGTCAACCGCGTCCCAAAAAAGCGCAACCGCAAGTTGCATTTCATTAGCTTCGTGCAATCTTGGAAGAAACTTTACTTTTCAAGAAATCATGGATGCCACAAACAAATTCGATGAAAATTTGCTTCTTGGAGTGGGTGGTTTCGGTAGGGTTTACAAGGGTACAATGGAAGATGGGACCAGTGTAGCTGTTAAAAGAGGAAACCCGCGATCCGAACAAGGTCTCGCGGAATTCCGAACCGAAATCGAGATGTTATCGAAGCTTCGGCACCGTCATCTCGTATCCCTAATCGGGTATTGTGATGAACGGTCTGAAATGATCCTTGTTTATGAGTACATGGCAAATGGCCCCCTCAGGAGCCATTTGTACGGTACAGATCTCCCGCCGTTGCCATGGAAGCAACGGCTGGAGATCTGTATCGGAGCTGCTCGTGGTTTGCATTATCTCCACACAGGTGCAAACCAGAGCATAATTCACCGTGATGTGAAAACGACAAACATATTGTTAGATGAGAATTTTGTAGCGAAAGTCGCGGATTTCGGGCTCTCGAAAGCGGGCCCGTCTCTCGACCAAACCCATGTCAGCACGGCTGTGAAGGGTAGTTTCGGGTATTTAGATCCCGAATATTTCAGACGACAACAGTTAACAGAAAAATCCGATGTTTATTCTTTCGGGGTTGTTTTGATGGAAGTCATCTGTACAAGACCGGCTTTAAATCCGGTTCTTCCGAGAGACCAAGTCAACATTGCTGAGTGGGCGATGACGTGGCAAAAGAAGGGAATGTTGGATCAAATTATGGATGGGAATCTTGTTGGGAAAGTGAACATGTCTTCTCTGAAGAAATTTGGTGAGACTGCTGAGAAGTGTTTGGCTGAATATGGAGTTGACAGGCCTTCCATGGGAGATGTTTTATGGAACTTGGAGTATGCTTTGCAGCTTGAAGAGACTTCAGCAGCTTTAATGGAACCTGAAGATAACAGCACAAATCATATACAAGGGATCCCATTTACTCCCATTGAGCCCTTTGAACACAGCACAAGTATGATCGATGGGGCCCAGTCCTGCACAGATGAAGATGCCACAAGTGCTGTGTTTTCTCAACTTGTTAATCCACGAGGAAGATGATCAAAAATCAAAATGTTAAAGTTTTTTGTTTCGAATTTTGTTTGTTGTAGTAATAAGATCTGTTGTTTATGCTATTTGTAACCATTTATTCAGTGATCGATATACAAAATATATTATAGGATGATAGCTTTACTGAGAGTTGAATATATTGCTATTCTTTGTGATTTGGTAGTATCAATATCAACAACGAATTAGTAAAAAGATGCTTATATCAATGGATTAAGTGGATGCTTAAATGCTATTTTTGTCCTTTACAAGCAAAGATTCTAAAAATCTCAATTTATTAATCTTCTGCAAACAAACACCTCATTTTGTTTTCATATATAATAATTAAATAATTCGCATTCCAACAAATATAATATAAATGGTTGAGAAGACTTGGTCTACATACAGTGAAAGATGAAGGAAGATATAGCCCAAGTGAAGGTTGGTGTCCCCATTAAAGAGTTATGGAAGGCAATGTCAAGTGACATAAGGCACATAGTGCCCAAGGTTATACCAGATATAGTGGAGGAAGCTGAGTTGCTTGAAGGAGATGGAGGCCATGGAAGCATTTTCATCTTCAAATTCTGCCCTGGTAATCCTTGATTCCTTATTTGTTGAGAATTTTTTGGGTTGTGGGTTTTTGTTAGGAAGATTTCTTGATTTTTCTTGGATATGTTTTTTTGTTAGATGTAAAAGTGAGGTATCAGAAGGAGAAGATTGTGGAGTTTGATGAATCTCTGCATCATATTGCTCTTGAAATAGTGGAAGGAGGGCCTTTGGATCATGGATTTTCATCATACATGTATGGATTTAAGTTTACAGAAGTAGGTGAAGGGGAGACACTGATGGAAGTGAAGCTTGTGTATGAGAAACCTGATCATATTCATGTCCCTGGAGAGACCTTGAAACCAACACTTCATTACATCAAATGCCTCGAAAAATATCTTTTGAATGGACCCTGATCTTGATTTGATTTTGTTGACATTTTGTATGTGTTTGTGTTTTGGAATCTTTGAAATTACAATAGGGAAAAACACATGTGGAATGGTTGAAGATTGTTTTTATATATCATGTAAATTCAACGAGTATAGTATAGCTAATTAAGACTACTTTAGATATAATTAAGAAAAGTTATTGAAGAAAGATGACAAGCATGGAAAGTTTTAGATATAATTAATAAAAAAAAGGTTATTTTTCCTAACCAACGTCAATGATACTAGCATTCCCAACAACAAACAACCTAAATTTATCGGTTGATGTAAAAGAATCTATACCATTAGACTGAAGTACTAATATTTTACCTTTTAATTTTTTACGTGTCACCTTAACCTTATTTTATTTTCCCCTCATTCTTTGGTTAAATAATTTATAATATAATACCGAAGGATGTACTAATATTTTACCTTTCATTTCCCCTCATTCTTTTTTAGCTTATTTTCTGTTTGCTTTTCAAAATTTAGCAAATGGTCATATTTATTTTCCCCAATTTTTTTTTACTTAAGTTAAATTACTATAATTTAATTCATAAATAAAACTAAAAAATAATAATAAGCACAATTAATAAATATGAAAATACTTAATATGATAATATAATTTTCATTTTGTACACATTAAATCAGTGGAATTTTTTGTCTATATTTAATCATTTTACTTGTTTTTTTAATATACATTCTATTATTATAACCTGTGGTAACATAATTTTCAGTCTACTCATATTTAATCTTCAATGTTTTTATACACATTAAGTCATTAGAGCATCCACAACGGTAGATATAAGCTTTTCAATTAACCTTGCAAGTGACATGTAGTTGCCACATATGTTGTGACATTGCACATATAGAAAGACTTGCAACTCATTATTTATGAATATTTTAATATTGACTCGTACAACTTGATATATAAGTCTTTTAATTATGTTTATGTAATAAAAAAAACTTTTATTATATCATATATTTTATTACTTAAATTATAAATTAATATATAATATATTAAGAATTTTTTGATTAATTAAATAGTTGTAGATGTGGCAGTGGGGATCACTTTTGAAAGATGAGTGTTATCGTACTTATGTGGGTAACTATTGTAAAGCTGATGTGGTACAATTGAAAGATTAATGACATTGATGTGAATGGCCTTATAACTGGTTTCTTCAGGTTTTTAGTCACGACATCCTATGTGGGATAATCATTAATGATGTGTTCTCATATGTGATTTCTGGTTGCTTCCTCTTAACTCAAATTTTCACTTCCAAGACAAAAAAATACCATAGCAAAAAGTTTAGAGTCTTCCATAAGTCATACATAAACCATGTACGACTTAGGGAAGACTCTAAACTTTTTTCCAGGATGTTTTTTTGTCTTAGAACTGCAAATTCGAATCGGGAGGAAGCAATAACAAAGAATCTTGTTGTATGTTGTAGAGATAGATGAAACTGAAGTCGAATATATTTTCTGCTTGAGAAAACTATGACACCAACATTATTTGAATGATTTGTGAATTATGTTACTAATATAAGATAGGTACGAGCAACATCTAAAAACACATCATTAATGATTGTCTCACATAAGATGTCGTGAATAAAGCCTGAAGATTCTGGTCATACAGTGGCAGACGCAGAACATTTTAGTAGGGGTGACACTATTTTTTTTTTCCGAAAAAATTTAAATTAGTAGCGACACTCGTATTTTAATCCGGTGCACCTAATAGAAAAAACACAAAAAAAACATTAATTTTTTTACACTACATGCCGGAATTGGAGCAGTGGCCCGGGACCCCCCCCCCCCCCCCCCCCGGCACCACTAAGGTCAGCCACTGTGGTCATAAGGACTGAATGTGTACATGTAACATCGAAAATTTTCAAAACAAAATTTTCAATTAAAACCATATAATTCTCATAACACATTTCACAAAAATCTTATTTATTAAATTTATAATTCGCAACTCCATAATTGTTTGGTTAAAATTCAGGATCCTAAAAAACGTAACTCTTTCACTAGTGTGTACAATCAAGACGGTGCCTTCCCGCGATCCTAAGAAAAACCTGAAACACATAACACATAACACGGTAAACACGAAGCTTAGTGAGTTCCCCAAAATACCACACACACAACTCATTAGCCACTCGAGGCTATATCACTGTAAGACCCTCCGGTCAATGTGTCTCAGTGGGACCCTCCAGTCCCATGGTTTGTTGGACCCTCTGGTCCAGTCTGTAAAGCTCCGCATAACATAAATCACAAAGACATAATGCACAACATGATTCACAAAACATAAGGCAGGATAACATGATACTCAATGTAAGCAAATAAGACCCTCCAGTCCCACATAATAACCACTCTATGTAAAGTATAGTGAGAAGACTCACCTTGCAAGCAGCAAGCAGATATCCTCGAACTCGAATCTCGAACTAGCCACTGCCTAACACATAAGGTAAATATCTCTAATTAATACTCGATTCTCGGCTCTAAGTAACCTAATGTTACTCTTCTCTCTCTAACTCTCGAATTGGGTAAAAGACCATTTTACCCATCCATGGTCTCCAATACTCATGTTGACCAAACCCTAAAGTTAACAGAAGTCAAACTCGAGTCAACAGTCTATGTTTGACCCGACTCGTCGAGTGCACTCTTGTGACTCATCGAGTCCCCTCATTTCCTCAGAAGTCTCAAGAAAGTCCAGCTCAACTCATCGAGTTGACCCCCAACTCGCCGAGTTATCGCACAATCAAACCCATCGGGACAAACCCTCACCGACTCGTCGAGTCAGGCCATGGACTCGGCGAGTCCCTTCGATCAGATTCCTTATTCAGACGATTTAAGGCAGATCTTCATGGGTTTTGAGCATTCTAACACTCCTATGGTGTACATGCAACCCTAGAAATCTTGGATCTATGTTTTCTCTAAAATACATGCAATTTTGATTTCCAAGGTTTACAACCTAACTAGCATGTTCTGGGGTACTTGTAATACAAAACTTTAAGTAGAATAAAATACCTTTCTTTTGTAGTTGATTGCTTGGAGTTTTAGAGTCTAGAACCAATAGTGTGGATGCCTCAAGTGGTGTCACAAATCACCCAAAACGATTTGGGAATACTTGAGAGAATATGACGCTCACTAAAATCGGCCCACTCTTGTTTCTCACACACGCTAGTGCCAATTCTAGAACCAAGGACCTCTTTATATAATATGGAGGATTAGGGTTAAACCCTAATACCCATGAGTCTTCATTTACCTAGGATCCATGGGTTAAAAGCTCCATGGATTATCCATGGACTTCCATATACTCTTAGCCCATCCTAAATAAATCTTAGCCCAATCCATATATATGTAAGAGTCCATATTTAATTAGCCTCTTTTGATCATTAAATTAATTCCAAAATCAATTCTTGATCAACACTAATTAAATAATATGATTTCATATTAATATATTACAACTTATAATATATTAATAGATCATAAACATCTTATTCTCAAAAGTATATCCATACATATTGTTAGGTGAAGTGCAACCCAAATGGACCATGCCGGGTCGGGTCAAGTTCATACCAAATATAGTTATGGACTTAGATACCTTATCCAACAGTCTCCCACTTGGATAAGTCTGATAACTATAGTTGCAAGTATAACTTCAGGAATTAACAAGCAATCGTAGCTCTTTACAACTTTGTTGAACTATGAAGCACCATTTTAGATAAGTGATCATATAGTCCTCCGTTCTCAAGATATCAGCAGGACAAATACATGGAACAATGTTGTATTTATTGTCCAGCAGTTGTTTCTCGATCTCAGATTTGTTTGACATAGAACTAAATTGAACACATCTCTGACCGAGCCCGACAGATAATTCAAAACCAAATCATCGAGGGGCTCATATATCGCTTCTATTGCTAGAAGGAACAAATAAACTTCGACTCATATGCTTGTACTAACTACTTGTTGAATTATGCACAAAAGCACATTTTATGACATCAAGTTACTGATGCGTTTTCGTACAATCAATGGATAACCAATTCATATTTCTAGGTTTGAAGATATATATGATATTACCGTCTCACGATCACTCGAGATAAATTCCATGAAGTCATACAAGTGAGCGTGGGTTTAATCCAATACTCAGACCTTATGAGCACTCATGAATGTTGTAGCAATCATTTCCATGTTTAATGCACCTTAGACAAATCTTACAAGCCAAATTCATGACAGTCTAAATTCAATACCTACTTCCTATGTATGACCGACTGTGGAGAGTTTTGAATAAAATACTTATTTTGGAAGTCAAAACATGCAAAATTGAAACAATAGTAAACGATTAACATAAGATAGTAACACCTTTCTTATAAATAAATGACGAGTTTTAGTTAATCATCAAATGTCAATTACATTTTACAAGTTTCAGAAATCGCTATCTAATTATTAAAACTAATATCGTCTCTCAGCCCGATGCTCCTCGTATGCTGCAAATGTCTAACCCTAGTTAGTCCCTTGGTGAGGGGATCTGCAGGGTTCTCTTCTGACGATACCCTCTTTGCCACAAGGAGTCCTTTTATCTTGTGTATTATGAAGTGATATTTGTAGGGTTTTGAGCATTCTAACACTCCTAAGTGTACAAGAAACCGTAGAAAACCTTGGATCTATGTTTGTCTAAAATACATGCAAAATTTGATTTCCATGGTTCATAATCCTATCTAGCATACATTGGGAACTTTTAACATAAAAATATAGCTAGAATTACATACCTTGTAGTTGATTTGATTCCTTGGAAACCTTGAGAGCCTAGCACCCCAAGTGTGATGCCTCAAATGTTTCACACAACACCAAGTGCTTTGGAATGGCTTTGAGAGAATGTATAACACTTCAAAATCGGCCTAGCCCTCTTCTTTTCTTAGTGTAGCCGATTTTAGATGATATCATGTTCTTTATATAGTGTGTCACATCTAGGGTTACACCATGTAAGCCCTAATGTGACATGACTCTTCATTTCCATGACCCATGGGTTTGTAACTCCCATGGAGCATCCATGGAGCATCCTATGGGTCTTAGCCCATCTTGATAAATCATGAAGCCTTAACCTACTATAAAAGTTATGGATGATTTACATAATCAACCGATATATTTAATTAGTCTTCTTTTGATCACTTAATTAATTCCAAATTAATTCTTG